TCTCCATTATCTTATCTCTTTGTTTTCTGTATGTTCTTCATTATTTTACAACACGTTATCAGTATAAGTGTTCTACTCTATATTCTCGTTGAGCATTTATCTCGGTCTTAGGCTCCTAGCAGGAACTTCAATTCGTCGTCCATGGCTGAACAGATGGAGAAAGAACCAGTGTTCGGATCGGAGCTGAGGATTGTGGCTTCTGAGATTGGCCACTGCAATTTCATTTCATTTTAAATGCTTTCACGAGATTTATTAATACTTATGAATGTGGCACATTATGTACACTTCCTATCAGAACTGCAAATCAAGCATGGGCTTGTATCATATCTAGGTTTACGTCCAGGTACTGAACCGGTTGTTTATCGCTCAAAAAAATGTTAGTCTTTCATGTCGTTAAATTATATTTATATTTAACGTGTGATATTAGAACCATGTTACCTATACGGCTATACCCAGCTGATTAACTATGTACTCCATATCATTGCCATCATTTCTTTGAATTTGAGAACATATATTTAGTCAAATATTTTTTATGCCAATGTTAATCATTATAAAAGAGTACTTAGCTTGTTGATTTGCTTTTGATGATAACAATTATATGCTATAGGCCATAAATGCTAAAATTTATCTCACAACTTATAAGTAAAACTATAGGATGAATTCTCAACATGGCTTTAATTGTTAGGTTGCATATGCCTTACTAAACATTAACTTGCTCTTGTGATAACAATTAGATGATATTAGCATAAATGTTGTGATAATCTATGTCACACCATATGTTTTAAGTGGAATTATTTTTTGAATATTGAATATGGTTTTACCCAGAAGGCGAATATAATGTCAATAATTTAACATCGAGAAAATTTCAATTTTGATCCACTGACTATTGCACTTGTGTTAATTGCAACACTTGACTTTCAAAAATGTTAATTTAGAACCTTGACTATGCAATTTCTATCAATTTTGGTCACGCCGGCCAAATTACCGGTCAAATCTCACCGGAAAAATTTAATAGGACAACTAATGGGGGTATTTTAGTCATTTTACTCATTTTTTTTCTTTTTTCTCCCA